AGTTTAATGAATGTTTTGACAAATCTAGAATTTTGAAGAGTTTATTTGCTTGTGGATTTGTTTGTGCAAAATAAAGTCATACTTCATGATTACCTATAGATACCAAATTTTGCATAACCAATCCTGGCTTTTAAATTAGCTGAATGCACTACTATTTACACCAGAATATTCTGGGTGAAAGGTTTAAATAATTATTTTTGTTTTTCATCAGAAAAAAGTCATGACTATTTTATGATTACAGTTCATAACAATACTTGCTAACAAAATTAAAATCAAGTCGCCTATTCAACTGTCATTTTAGTGCAAAGAAAATTTTTACTGTTACAAGTCATGAAGTAATTCAAATTAGTTACAAAACGAGTAATGGAAACTTTCAGAGTTTCTGATTCAAATTTACTATGTATAGTAATTCAATAAAATGAAGACTGTTTGATGTTGAAATCCTGCAAATTTACAATTGTTCTTTTACTTCCCTTCTGCAAGCACAGTAATAAAACATTCTATTACATATATTTAATTTCTTGAACTTTCCTATAAGTGTGATTTACACAAAATGACTCTGCCCGGTAAACAACAGGCCTCACCAGCTAGATAGATATATTCAAGTTGGCAGGCCATGATGAAATTCATCCTACGATACTTAAGGAACTAGCTAAAGCAATCTTGGAGCCATCAGCAATGATCTCTGAGATCTCCTGGAGGATGAGTGAGGCCCAAAAGGACTGGCAAATGTAATACCTGTTTTTAAAAAGGGAAACAAAAAGGACCCGTGGAATTATAGGCCAGTCGTTCTAACTTCAGTACCTGGTAAAAGACTGAAATAAATTATTAAACCATCAATTTGTAAGCACTTAGTGGATAACAGGGTTATAAGGAATAGCTGGCATGTTTCTGTCATGAACAAATCATGCCAAACCAACCTAATTTTCTTCTTTGACAGATTTACTGACCTGGTGCATGGGGGAAGGAATAGATGTGATATATCTTGATTTTAGAAAAGCTTTGATACAGTCATATATGACATTCTTTTAAGTAAATTAAGGAAATACAGTCTAGATGAAATTACTAGAAGGATGGGGACAGTGAAATACTCAGGGAAATTAGAAAGGCTACAAAACCAGGAACAAAAAATAAATGGGGATTTCAGCCATTTCCAGATTGCCATGGTACATGTCACCTCAGGATAAGAAGAAGAAATACAATTTCTAGATACCATTAATGATTG